CCGGCACTGTTGCCTTTGTGGAGTCCATTTTCCATTTTTTCGGATTCCATTTATTCGGAGTCCATTTTCTCTGGTAATGGCTTTGTTTCCCATCATCAGCCGATTGTTTGATTTTTTCTTGGGTCCATTTTTCCTTAAACCCGTTTTGTTTTCCAACGCCAGCCGATTGTTTAAATTTCGGCTGTTGTGGAATTTTCTGGTTCGGGCACAACGCTAACGGATGTGCCCCTGAACATCCCAAACATTTCGATGGGTGTTCGCAGTCTGCTGCCTCGTGTCCGAGTCTGCAGCAGCGAAGACAGCGATTTTCTTCTTTAATACGCTCCCTTCGAGCCTGAAGTGTTGAGTATTTTCGACACTCATTAGACCAGTGTTTTTTCTGGCAAAAATAACAGTAGAGAGATCTTTTTCCTTTTTTCTCTCTTACCGTTTCCTTTCGATTTGTTTTTCCAACAGTCGAACAAGCGACTGTCGGAGGAGGTGAATCATCCTCATTCCTTGGACTCATCCTTTTTTCATTGCCTGTCCATTTCGGCGTATGACGTTCGTCCTTTGGCTTGGAAAATTGTTTTTTCTCCTCGCCTTTCTTTTCCTCGCCCGTCTTTTTTAAGATCGACGAGATTTCCATTTCAGACTCTAATAGCCTCTTTAGCTCGAGTCTGAATTTGCTGGTTGTCCAGTTGTCTCCAGCTTCCTTTTTGACGGCCAAAATTTCTCTTAACATTGGTCGCGTCAATTTGGTTTCCAGCAGGTTGTAGTAAAGGTCTGAATCTGTGTCATTTCCAAGACCAGCCAATTGACGACAGATTCGTTCCAAATGAAGATAGAATTTTCTGACCTCTTCCAGAGTATTGCAATGTGGAAGTGCCAGCAGCTGTTGCTGCAATGTTCTGATTCTTTTATCTTTATTTTCATAATTTTGTTTAAGCAAATCGATTGCTTGCCCATATTCATCAGGTTGAAACCCGTCGATCAAAAGACCGGCAGGGCTATCCTTTGGTATAAACGACCGAAGATAAAGAAATTTTCTTTCGGTCGATAGACCACTATCTTCATGAATTGACATGAAGAGCTCCCACCAATCAGGCCAAAGGTCTGGATCGGTGCCGTAGAATTTGCCTATGCTCAACGCCTCGTGTCTTACTTCGTGATGAACTGGCGTGGCTGGAGCTACTTGTGGCATTTGCTCAATCTGAGCATTTTCTCTTCTTAAATTTAACTGTTTTAGCCTCATTTTTCGGCTTAATTTTGACTTTGCCATTCTTAGCAGCGTCAATCTTTTCTCTGCTTCATTGAAGTAGAAGCTTGGTTTGTTCTTCGCTTCGAACGCTTTAAATGAAGCGTCGAATGCCGGCCTTTCTGTTGCTGTAGCTTTTCGATTCAATTCTGTCCAGTCTTCAAACACAGAATTTATTTCATCTTTAGCCGAGCATAGGCCTTTCACTAGATTGTCTAAATCCTCCATTAGGCTCTCCAGTTCAATTATTTCTTCTTCTAAAGCCATTTCCTGGACCCGGTCTGAATCAAATTCAGACGGGTCTATCTTCAGAAGTTCAACAATCTTCGAGATTGTTATTTGCAGTCTTTGCTCCAATGGACTGCTCATTTTTGCCTCTTCTTTTGTTGTTGTTGCTGTTGTACCTTTTATATTTTTACCTCACACTTTTATTTAAAAACAAGTTTACTGACCGTTAACAAAAATTGTTGGCAGCCAACTTAGAAAAAGACAAAGTCTAATTATTCTAAGCTCTTTAGGGTAGGATAAAAAATTTTATTTTCCCACTTTTAAGTTTATTTTTTCTAAAAAATTTAAACTCACACTTTATGTTCGCTGAGCCCCCACTGAAAAGAAAAGGAAAGATTCTTTTCAAGCTACAACTACAAGTCAATGTGATTTGTAGTCGGCAAATTTTTTCTTAATTTATTTTAAATAACTTAATTTATATTTAAATAAATTTTCCAAAGTTTTAATATTTATTAAAATATTTAATAAAGTGATTAATAGAGAAGAAGCTGATTCAAGGGTAAAGCAATAGGCTTTTATATAAAACAAGAATATGATTGTGGGAGGGAAAAATAAATAAAAATAAAAAGCTCTAAAACAAGAGCGATATACAACGGAAGTAAAAAGAGAGAGGAAAGTTTGTTGTTGTAACGTATGGGAAATTACAACAATGGACTTTGAATGGAAAATATATTGAAAATTAACTAAAAAATTAAATTAAAATAATTAAAATAAATATTAATTTAATTTAACTTCTGAATTGATTCTTAATCCTCTCAATTCAGAACATAATTTCAAGTCTTATCAATAAGTACTTAAACATTTTAAGATTTATGCTGGGTGTAATAAGATACTAAAAGCAGAATATGGAGGTGAACAAAGCCATTCAAGACACGGAGGCCGTGGAGATTATCACGGCGGATCACATGATAAACAACACGGAGGACAGAGCGGAGAAGGGCATTCTTATGGCAAGCGATATGGGGGAGATTATTAGATCTAAAATTTCAAGATAGTTAAGGTGGAAAACATGGAAATTATTGAAGAAACCAATGATAGTGATGACATTTAAAACATTCAAAATTTATATATTTAAATCAGGATTGCCAGCTTCTTTTTAGTTATTTGGAACTAGAGTGATTTGGATATCCGATATTTCTTAGGATCCGTCGATTTTAAGGGGAACTTTTCGCCCATATAAAAGGGAATCTGGGCTCGTAGCCGAATTTGTAAACTGGGTAGTGTGAGCCTCATAAAAAAGATCTGGCAGAAATTTAAATTAGAGATTGAATCGACTTGTAGTTATTGTCTGATATTATTTCCAAAGCTGAATCCCTAGATGGTTTGGAGATTTTGCTTAATAGAGAACATAATTGTGCTTTTATCTCTAATTTAAATTTTCTGAACAAATCCATTCATTTAAAAACATCCAGTATATTACTGGCAACTTTTAAAGTGTTCAATGAGGCCGATTTAGCGGTCTTGGTAGGAAACACTAAATGTAGTTTTTAGCTTTATTTTCTGATATTTATCATTAAATTGTTTTTATTTTAAACAAATGTCGATAAATTGAAGAAAATTTGTTTTTTAATTTTATTAAAACTAGAAAAATAAGAAATAAAAAATTTTATGTAAAAATTAAAGTATAATAATTTTTTAAGGATTTATTTATTTAAAAGCAAAATAAAAAATTAAATTAGTTAATCCTCTTCTTTAAATATACATTTATTTAAAAATTGCTTATATGCTCAACTAATTGCCCCTCTCAATTAAATAACCCCTCCAATGTGTCCTCCTTAAAATATGATATTGTTTTTGGCAGTTTTCAAAGCACAATACCAAAGGAGTCCACTTATTCTACATATTAAGGCTGAAAAGTACTAATAGGGATATCGGGTGATTTGGAGGGATATTGAGGTACATAAGGGGTTCTGATAAATTAAGAAGATTTTGTGCAATCCCCAGTATTATTAACCTTAAATATGCTGTCATTTCACGAGACTTAGTTAACAAAGTTTGTTGATCCATATTTTCCCAATTTGGGGGCAAAATTCCACTTGTACTCAAAAAATAACGAAAATCATTTAAATCCATTTTTGAACTATATGCTTTCAATCCTTCGGCAATAATTGAATTTCTAAATCGTAATGAATTGTTTTCATCCCATATTACATGAAGCGGAAAATACTGAGTATATTGCTCAACAACCTTAAAATATTATTAAATTTTATACAATAAAGAAGATTGGTTAGCTTATAAAGTGTGAAACTCAAAAATACTAACAAACACTCAAGCAGAAAATGGTTAAGATTGAAGTTATTAGAAAGAATTAATGGCCTAATATGTGGATAAATAGTTCAACATTGTGGTATGTATCTCAAAATGATCATAGAGTCATCAAACTTTTATGCTGAATTATTTACAAGGATTTTTCAAGATTTTGTTTGGAATTTCTGATTGTTTTGAAATTAGGAATACTTTTAAATATGTTTAGAGCTATTTTTTACTTGCTAATGTGAATGAACTACTACATAAAGCTTAAAATCTATTAAAGATACTAAAAGAATCCACCTGTGTCAACTTATTTTTAAATTGAACATAAATATGTCTAATCGAATCTTTATTTCCCATTTGTAATGTATTGAAGTCATTGTCGCAATACAATTTAATAATTTTTTCCAAATCAAAATTTGGGTCTGTGAAACCTTTGATCGTTTCAATGTCAATAAAGCGCAATACGCGAATTAAAATTGACAATTCAACAAGTGAAAAATTCATTACAGATTCAGTAGAAGGTTGGGGACTTGAATGCATTTGAACCTGTTTACCTCTAGAGCTTGAACTTTCCCCTATAAAATTTTAATATAAGATACATAGTTCAAATTTATAAAAACCTTTTTGATGCAACATTCCCTTGGTCAATTCGGGTTGGTTTATCAAAAGAAGAAATATTATCATAACAAGGATGAAAATATTCATTTTTCTCTATGAATTTCAATTGTTTAAATTTTCTGAAAATGGTAACACAAGTCTCATGTATAAAATAAGGAAAAATTTCAATTATTTTTCGTTAATATCTCTTAATTAATGTCTCCGAAGCTTCAGGAACAAAGTCGGAGTATAACTCCTGTTTTGAGCCAATTCTGGTTGAAAAATTGCTGAATTAATCCGTATTTATGAGTTAAAGCAGAGATAGCCTTCAACAGTTTTATTTTTGAAAATATTATTTTGCCATTTTATTTTTATTACAGGTAAATTTATTTAAAAAAAAGACCCCCAAAAACACTAAAATTTTTAAAGAATTTATATTTTTGAAAAATAATATTATGAATGGGTAATATTATTCATTTTTGGGTTTAAATATTAGTAGCATTTATTAGCAAAACCGCTCACGCGAGGATTTCTCAATCATGATTAGCCCTAAACATGAGTCTGAAAATGAAGAAAAATTCCTTTTTGTTCGATCTCTACTTTTATGATCTCTGTCAACAATTCCTTTTTCTTCGACTCCTCCTTTTATAAAAGACTGCACTTTTCATCCACCTCGTGAAACGATTCATGTGACGCCATATGCCTTCATTGACTCCCTTTTTTAATAAAAGCCTGCCCTTTCCATCCGCTTCATGTGACGAAGAAAAATTTCCTTTTCTACGATTTCTACTTTTATGAGCTGTCAATAATTCCTTTTTCTTCGATTCTCTCCTTTTATGAAAACCTGCCCTCTTCATTCACATGTGACGCTTCAAATGCCTTCATTGACTCCCCTCTTCCTGCCATTTCCATCAACTTCAACTGGCGGATTCCTTTTTCTTCGACTTTCACTTTATGATCTTTATTTTTTCCTTCAAAGTGCTGTGTTAGGTCCTAATTTTTTATAGTTAAAATAAATCTGTAAAACTTATTTCTTATTTGATCATTGTTAATATAGGAATTCTAGCCGTTTGGCCTTTGAAATTGCTCAAAAAGCATAAATGGAGAATCACTCGTTATGCCCTTTAATCCCAAAAATCTGTCAATATACTTCTTAAATGAATTTCATTCATTGATTTTCCAACTTGCTCAAAATGGAGCTTCTCTGAAAAACACGTAGCAACGACGGGGCCTAAAAAGGGGTCGGTTTAGTATATGCCCACCGAGATCGAAAATCGTTATATATACCATTCGATTCCTCTCACCGAGCTGAGTTCAAATATGCAGGAATTTTCTGCCGGAGACGAAAACTCGCAGAGATACAGGCCCCCGAAAATCGAAAAACCATAGGGGGGACCAAGCACTATTTTGGGGTGAAAAATTCGAATATGCAAATTATAACTCATTCGAAAGAGCTCGTCGAGCTGAGTCGAATGACACCAAAATCAACGAAATCCGACTTGATTGGACCGAGATATAGACCTCTAAAAATCGAAGATCCAAAGGGGCGATTTTTGGAATAAAAAATTTTTTATACAAATAATACCTCATTTGAAAGAGCTCGACGAGCTGAGTCAAATGAAACCAAAATCACCGTGATTGAACAAGATTAGACAAAGTTATGACACAAAAAACGAAAAACCTAAACCTATGGGGCATCGGCGAGGCGCTTGTGCAAAACCCCGCGCTTCGCGCGGGGTTTTGCGGCACGCGCCTCGCGGGGAGTCTACGGGCGCTGGGTCTGGGCTCGTAACATAAACCTATTCCTATCTCCCTTGCTCTGGACGTATTTGGGGCCTCCGTAGCAGCAAAAATCTCCACAGATGCCATAGGTAAGGAGCTAAAATAAAAGATTATAACTTTGTCCAATCAAGTCGGATTTTGTTGATTTTGGTGTCATTCGACTCAGCTCGAGGAGCTCTTTCGAATGAGCTGTCATTTGCATCTTCGAATTTTTCACCCCAAAAAAGTGCTTGGTCCCCCCTATGGTTTTTCGATTTTCGGGGGCCTGTATCTCTGCGAGTTTTCGTCTCCGGCAGAAAATTCTTGCATATTTGAACTCAGCTCGGAGAGACGAATCGAATGGTATATAACTTGAGTTTCGATCTCGGTGGGCATATACTAAACTACAGCCCCTAAAAATCGCAAATAAACACTGGTTATCGGTTCAAGATCCCACGAGCCGCCAACCCTACGTGACTCTGTCGGTATAATGCTACATAAAAAATAAAAATTTTTAAAAATTCCTAAATAAAAAATCTGAGAGAGAATTTTGGGAACTTTCGAAGACCAAACGGCTAGAACTTCTTTATTTAAAAAATATAGATTTTATGGAAACATCTTGCTAACGCATTTTATGACATACCGTATTTTCTCGTTTATTCCCCTCCCTCACATAATTCCCACTCTCGATTAATTCCTCTTCATAGAGTTGAGTTGAAACAATAATTCCCCCCTCAGATACCCTACTGCACGTCCAAATGTCAAAACTCGAATAATTCCCCTCCCTCGATTAATTTCCCATGCCAAGGAAGGGTTAAAAAATAATTCCCCAGGGAAATTAATCGAACATACGGTAATTGACTTGGTGCCCTGTAGTTTCGTCAGAGGATATTTTCTTCAAAATCAGTCTTTTTCGTCAGTAAGGCTATCTTTTTAAATAAATATATATTAAAAGAAATTCTTAGAGATTTGAATATATATATGAATTTTATCCGAATGGACTCACAAAGGAGCCTCTTAAATCAGAAACAATTAATATTGATGTCAATAAGTAAAAAACAAAATTTAAAAACCATGATTCCAGAAAAATGTCAGCCTTAATACAAAAGAGTCTCTATTTAATATTTAAAAAATTTTTTTAAAAATTTTGTAACCGTATTTGTCATATCGCGACAGTTGTCCACATTTGCCGTCCGATATTGTCAAGCCGTAATTAACGACATACGTTTTGAGTTGAATTTTAAGATACTTGAATAATATAATAAATCGAACTTTCTTAGATAATAACAAGTGATTGGATAGAATTTGATTCTGGGTGCTCTCCAATGCAAAGTTATTAACTGGTCAACACTCACCACCTACTGATCGTTTAGGCCTTATAATATAAAGTAAATAAAAATATAAATAAATTCAAATTTTCAATATTTTGCATTTACTTAGAAAACAGTAAATTTTTATTACTTGGAAACAATAAATTTTTAAACTCCCTATAAAAATTTTTTCAATTTATTGCGAAATAATAATTTAATAATGCCGACAAAAAATATGATTTTTGTATATTTATGTACATAAATGTATTTTTGTATATTTATGTACATAAATATAAGTCCATTTAAATTGGCTGCTATTTTAATTCAATACCATTTTTTCCTCGAAAATTTAAAAATTCATTTCAATTTCTCTCCACAGAAAAAATCAAAAACTAAAACAAAATTTTCTCCCATTTATATTATATATGTAATATTAATTAGGCTAGGGGAATAATTAGGGACTCGCAAAATCTATCGCAAGTTATGCGGATATTTTTCAAGAGATGAAACAAGAAAGCCCGAAATATGCACTGAAATATGCAAAATTTCCTAAAATACAGGGTAACCAGTAGTGATGTTCGGGAGAAGAAAAAACTCGGGAAACGGGAGTCGGGTCGGGAAATGACCTCGGGAGTCGGGATCAGGAGTCGGGAATTAGCAATAAAAAAATTTTTGGCGCCTTCGGCGCCAAAATACCAATTTTTTGCTATGCAGGCGAAAATTTTGAGAATTTTGGAAGGTCAGGAAGCCAGACATCTAACCTCCTGGATACGCCATTGATGTTATGATCACTCTCGACAATCTAAAATCCTTTGTCCGCGCCGCAGGCGAAAATTTTCTTAAGTCGAAGGCTAAGAACCAGACTTCGTCCTTTATTTTTGAGAATTTCTAAGGGCGTAGGCCAAAAAATTTAAGAATTTAAGAAATTTTGAGAATTTAAGAAACTTCATCGAGGGAAGTCAAAAATATACCCCCAGGAACTAGTTCCAGAACTAGTTCCAAAGCTAGTTCCAGACATTTACTAGTTCCGTAGTTCTAGTTCTGGAACTGGAACTATAACTAATTAGTTCCGGAACTGGAACTTTGCCCACCACTGCTAAGAAGTCAGATATTTTTCATTTTCTGCGCCGCAGGCGAAAATTTTTGAAAATTCATGACTAATTAATATTTCTGGAATTTTTTGACGTTTATAGTATTGAAAAAAATAACTTTAAAATTTTAAAATCAAAATCAATGTTAAAACCATTTATTTTTGGGTGGAAAAATTATTTAAAAACATTTACCAGCCCTGGATTCGAACCCAGCCCAACAAAGCAACTGAAGTCACTCAACTTAACCACTCAACCACGTCTCAACAATAGTTATATGGGAAAAATTTAAATATTTTATTTTTCTTTCTCTTTTTTTTATTTTTTTTCTTTATTTTTTCCTTTCAAAAATAAAATTTTATGAGAAAAAGCCATTCTTAGGGGTGTAAAAATTTCCCGACTTAGTCGGGAATTGGCATCGGGAGTCGGGGTCGGGATCGGGAGGCCAAAAACTCGGGAAATTTTCCGAGTCGGGTGTCGGGAGTCGGGATACCCGAACATCACTACAGTGTATTGTTATTAAACTTGTGTTAGAATTTAATAAAAAGGAAAGGCTGTTCAACAACTTAAAATTATAGTGGATAACTTTATCAAAATCTTTCGCAATTCTGTCGAGTTACACTCTTGTGAAGACAAAAAAGCGATAAATTTTTTATAAATTTTTCCATTTTTAAAATACACATGATTTACAAAACGCGAGCATATTTCTTAAATACACCTCTTAAAGTATTTGAAAAGCAGTATTTAATACCGGCACTATACACCCATTAGTCAGACTTCAATTTACATTCACTAAAAGCAGGGATGTGTCGGATTAAGAAAAAAGTTTGTTTATCATAATAGAAAAATAAGGAGGTTAAAAAAGAAGCGATAGTTTTAATATTTTTTTTTCTAATTCCTTCAAATAAATGTCTGATTATGTGGATAGCGTAAGTTTAAAACACCGTATTCAGCTATATTCGTCCTGGGTTCGAATCCGTAAACAATAAGGATCAACTATTTTCTTTCTTAAATTTATTATAATTGAACAAATATAGTTTTCGATTTTTTTCATTTGAAAATTAAAGAATAAAATATTATAGTAAAAAGTTCTGAAAAGTAAAGCGGTTGGGCTATAGCTATTTCTCTCCTTTAGCTAGGGCAAAAGGTTATTCGGCGGCTGGGAGCGAACCAGCATCTTCAGTAGACCGGACTGATGTGTTAGCCATTACACCACGCCGCCTACTGCTCAGCCTTAGGAAATTAATAGCTATATGCTTTACAGAAGTATGGAATCATTTTAGGACGAAACCCATGTTTCGTCCATAATCGTGGGTAGGCCCATCTTATACATATAGTGGCAACCTGAAAATCCGTTTACTCTTAATTACTTTTACAGTATACCGTTGAGAAGGGTAATAAACACCTGTTCTATTTATGAGCACAGTAGCTGATTTTCATGTATTTATTAGCTATTTCTTAATGTAATACATATGTATTTTAATTATATTTCAAAGTTTTTTTTTAATTTATTTTCCACAGAAAACCCTTAAAGTTTTAAAAAAATGAAAAAATTCCTTTTGTTTTTATTATTTTATTTTGTCATAAACCAATTTAAAATACATTTTACGGATGGAATGGATTACGGTAAGTCTTTTAAAATTAAATTTCTTAGAATTTGATTGCAATAGATTTTCTCTTAGGCGGACTTCAATTTACAGTCATAACAGCCTAAGTGCGGTGTCAATAAAAGTGATTAAATTCACTTTTATTGACCAGACAATGTTTTGGCGATAAATTATTACGACTATACCAGAGTGATAATTACACACAGGCGGATAAACTAGAGGCTGAACTGGGCTAGGGGTT